CCCCCCCGACTTCGTTTTCCCCCCCGACTTCGTCTTCCCCCTCCGACTCGATCCCCACCCCCACCCTGATCCCAATACACCCCGTTTCCCCCCGCGCGCCCATTTTTCCCTCGCGCGCGCCTTCCCCCCTCTTCCCTCGCGCGTTTTCTCACCCCGCGCGGCACCCCCGCGCGACAACTTGACGACCAGCGAGTGATGACGTCAACACCAATGCCAACCTCCTCTCCACCAGGTACGTCCCTCTCTTCTCCCTCACTCTCCCTTGTTATCCCACACAGCGCCCTTCACATGCCGAAGAACCACCTTCGCCCTCACCTCCCTCTGCGCCCACAGGCAGCTCGGCTATGGCCGCCAGCGCCCTCCGCCCAGGCTGCGCCCTACCGCTTAGCCTGCCTTAACCTCAGCCTAGCGCAGCGCAGCACCTCGCAGTGCTTCAGAGTGCCGGCATTGCTCGCAATGGCCAAGATCCACTGCCCAGCCGCATGCTCTGCCTATATGACAAGCAGCGCGAGGGCGGCCTCGTTTCAGCCTGTGCCTGGGTCTCGGTAGTTGTGCCCAGACCCCATGCAGATAACGGCCCAGGTCGTACAGTTGTGCCTCTTTCATCAAGGCCTTCGTCCAGATTCAAATAGTGGGCTGGTTTCCCACTGGCATTTTCGGTCTCACGTTTATGCGCCCAGGGCCTAACCAATTCTGAGCCCCTGGTCCTACTGCATTTGCAGGGATCTGGTATTCGGTGCACTCCAACCAACTGGCGTGCGGCAACTGTCTGGACCCCACTTCGTGAAATGTCGCAAAAAGGCCTCTCGTTGATTTGCTGGCCTGCCTTCACTTAGGGCGGGCACTAGGCTTGCTGAGGGCCTTGGCCCAGAACACGTACATCACGGCAAGGCCCCTTTGAGGGCTCAATCCTCACATTCCATCCCCCTTAGCTTCGAAAGTCCGCTGAGATGCTTACTTCGCAGGTGCCTTCCCCTTTAGCTGTCTTTCATATTCAGCGACCACCTGAGGAGCTGTTTCACACAGTTCCTCCCTAGTGAACCACCGATCTTCTTTCGGATCTGTGTGATGCCTGAATCTGACTCTGTATTCTCTTCTGGGTTTAGGAGGTCTTCCTCGGCCCAGTGGTCTTTGAACAGGCATGTCCCAGTGTTCCAGAATGTCGTCGATGTCCATGTGGCCATCCATGGTTGGGGGCTGCATCGATCTCCTTGAAGGGAATTGATCTGTCTCAGCGAAAGGTGCAAGCTTTGAGGCATGAAAGACAGGGTGAGCGCGTAGGTGTCCAGGGATTCGGATAGCGTAGGAGGGACCATCCAAATCAGTACCTACTACATCCAGCACATCCCAAGGACCGAAATACTGTAGCATTAGTTTTCTAGAGATGCCAAACTCCTGTCCTAGCTCACTAGCCCTTACCCAAACACGTTCCCCTACCTGAAATGTGGACTGTCGACGATGTTTGTTCTCAGAAGCAATCATTGCTTCCTGAGATTTCTTGATGTGCTCGACAGCTTGCTGTAGCAACTTCTCATACTGCACACCATACTCAAGTGTGCCCGGAGTTGCAGAGGGTCGGTTTTTAGGCAGGAGGAAGTCCAGAGCTGATCTAGGCTTCCATCCCAAGTGCAGCTGATTAGGACTAATGCCGGTACTGCTGTGTACAACGTTGTTGTACAGACTGGCGATGAGAGGCAACTTCTCATCCCAGTCATCCTGGTTGGGCTTGATGTAATGCCTCAGCAGGTGTTGTACAACTCTGTTCATCTGCTCGGCCTGTCCATTTGCTTCAGGATGATTCCCTGAAGGCATCTGAAGTTGACTGCCTATCTGTTCAGCAGTCTTCTTCCACAGCTCACTTGTGAAACGGACATCTCTGTCACTAACGATTGACTTTGGTAGTCCAAAATCACGCACCCAGTT